TATTGCACAGTATTCTACTCCCCCATTGCACTCTGAAGTGCACCCTGCATTACACTATGTTGCACCCTCATTGTACSCTGCATTGCACCCCTGCTACATGCTGCATTGCACCCTGCATTGCACCCTGCAYTGCACCCCTGCTACATGCTGCATTGCACCCTGCATTGCACCCCTGCTGCACCCTGCATTACACCCCACATTGTACCCTGCATTGCACCCCACGTTACACCCTCATTGCACCATGTTGCACCCCACATTGCACCCTGCATTGCACCCCACGTTGCACCCTCATTGCACCCCAAATTGTACCCTGCATTGCACCCCACGTTGCACCCTCATTGCACCATGTTGCACCCCACATTGCACCCTGCATTGCACCTTTGCTGTGCCCGCATTGCACTCACATTGCATGCACCTCCTTGCAAGCAGGAGGTTGGGGGGCCTCCGCAAGCAAAAATCAGGGGGGCCTCCGCAAGCAGCCCCCCGCATCCCCACTTTCCTCATGCCGCAGTGTTCGTGACGCTGACGTGCGCCTTCCGCTACGGCCGCGAGGACCTCGACGTGCTGGGCCTCACCTTCCGCAAGGACCTGTTCGTGGCCAACGCGCAGGCCTTCCCGCCGGCGCCCGAGGACAGGAAGCCCCTGACGCGGCTGCAGGAGCGCCTCATCAAGAAGCTGGGCGAGCACGCCTACCCCTTCACCTTCGAGGTGGGGAAACTGAGGCACGGAGCGGTCCTCAGGGGGCCCCGTGCTGCACGGCGGCCTCCGGGATCAGCAGCATCGCGCACGGCACTAATGCCGCCCGATCCGCGGCGGATTAAGGGGGTTTATGACCCTTGGGAGGCTGGTGGGGATGGGGCGACCTGGGATTTGGGTTAAAACGGGAAAAAAAAAAAAGGGCAAATTGCAGCTCAAGTGGCGGGAAGGGATTACGGGGGCGCCGGGTGCTGCTCATGTGGCCTCTTCCCGCACAGATCCCACCCAACCTGCCCTGCTCCGTGACGCTGCAGCCGGGCCCGGAGGACACGGGCAAGGTGAGGTGCTCCCCATGCCGCCTGCAATTCCCTCCTCGTGGCCCCTGGGCATAAGGGATTGATGGTCTCCACCCTGGGATAGATGGTCTCCACCCTGGGGTAGATGGTCTCCACCCTGGGGTAGATGGTCCTCACCGTGGTTCTTCTCGCCATCATTCCGCTCCAGAGTAGCACAAGGCTGTTTGTGTTGCCTTGATGAAAAATTAAGGAATTTTGGACATCCCGGGAGCCCAGCAGCATCCTCAGGGATGGTGGCATTGCTGGGAAGCRGGGACATGCAGGCTGGGGCTTGTCCCCAAGGCTGTCATGACCGAGGTGGCTCTTCTCACCATGCCATGGGTGTCCCCAGTATCAGACTGTCTTCCCAAGCGGGGACGTGGCATGTGCCACCTCCACTGTGGCTGCGTGTTGGGATGAGAAGGGATTTATCCACCTCCTGCCTCCTCCTGCAGGCCTGCGGGGTGGACTATGAGGTCAAAGCGTTCTGTGCCGAGAACCTGGAGGAGAAAATCCACAAGAGGTGAGCAGGGATGGAGATGGAGTTCCAGGATGGAACTGGGATGGAGGTGGCCTCCCGAATGGGACTGGCATGGAGATGATCTCCTGAGTGGAGCTGGGATGGGGATGTCCTGCAGGATGAGCCTGCAACAGGGATGATTTCCCTCCTGGGCCTGGGATGGAGGTGGTCTCCAAAATGAGATTGGGATGGAGATGGCTGCGAAAATGAAGCTAGGATGGAGATGGCCTTCAAAATGTCGTTGGGATGGAAATGGCCTCCAACATGGGCCTGGGATGGAGATGGCCTTGTGAATGGGGCTGGGATGTCCCCTGGGACATGGCTGGGATGGACATGTCCTCCAGAATGGGAGTGCAGCCAAGGTGTTCTCCAGGCTGGGGCTGGGGTGGAGATGCTCACTGTGGCTCCAGGCGTGGGGATCAGCCTGTGGGGACACACAGCCTGACATGTGCACAGCCAGGCCTGGCGCATGTCCCCCTTCCTAGCCCTGGGCGAGTGTCTTCAGCAGGGGACAGTCCCTGGTAGAAGGTTCTTCTGACTTAGCCCACAAGCAAAGAGGGGCTGGGGATGAGGTGGGCCAAGGTGGTGGCCAGAGGTGGCCTCTTGGTGTCCGGACACGGGGGTTCTCCCGGCCGTGCCCTGCAGGAACTCGGTGCGCCTGGTGATCCGCAAGGTGCAGTACGCGCCGGAGCGGCCCGGCCCCCAGCCCATGGCCGAGACCACCCGGCAGTTCCTCATGTCGGACAAGCCGCTGCATCTCGAGGCGTCCCTGGACAAGGAGGTAGGTCCCATAGGCGGGTGGCCTCGCATGGGACCTTATGGCTGCTCGTGGTGGGGCGTGGGACCTCACCAGCCCTGCTTTCCTTCTTCACCCTGCAGATCTACTACCATGGGGAGCCCATCAGCGTCAACGTCCACGTCACCAACAACACCAACAAGATGGTGAAGAAGATCAAAATCTCGGGTGGGTTTTGACCCCAGCCCTTCTTGCTCCATCCTGGGGGGCCATCTGTAGCACCCATGGGTGCCACCACTGCTCAGCCCTGACCCAAGCTCTGCCTCTACCACCCCAGTGCGCCAGTACGCCGACATCTGCCTCTTCAACACGGCCCAGTACAAGTGCCCCGTGGCCGTGGAGGACGCCGAGTGAGTAGAACTTGGTCCCAGCACAGGTCTTGGCTCAAGACTTGGTCTCCCGTTGCCTCTTGCGTTGGGTGACCCATCACAGCACGTTCCGGCTTGCTCCCCGATGGGCTTGTTGGGAGCAGGGGACCTTCTTCATGGGCATCTGGGTGCTTTGCTTGGGGAGATGCAGCCTGTAGAGGTTCTGGAGGTGGTTTTGGGCGCTGACGGGCGCTGTTGTCCCCAGCGACGTGGTGGCCCCGAGCTCGACGTTCTGCAAGGTCTACACGCTGACGCCCTTCCTCGCCAACAACCGGGAGAAGCGCGGGCTGGCGCTTGACGGCAAGCTCAAGCACGAGGACACCAACCTGGCCTCCAGCACGCTGTGAGACCCCAGCTCCTGCTTGTCCCCGGCTCACTAAGAAAACCCCTTATTTCGGAGGGGGGAACAAGCCACTTAGTGCTTGCAACTAAGCACCCAAGCAAGCTCCTGGTTTGCTCTGGAGATGTCACTCTAGGTGCCCCTGGTGATGCATGGGGTGGAGGAGACCCAGTGGGTCCCACCTCCCCGCTCTCCCTTCTCCTCCAGGTTACGGGACGGCGCCAACAAGGAGATCCTGGGCATCATCGTGTCCTAYAAGGTGAAGGTGAAGCTGGTGGTGTCGCGAGGAGGGTGAGTGGCAGGTCCCCCAGCGGGACACTCCGCGGGTCTGTGCTTGGTGCGGTGGCTAATGCGTCTTCTCCTCCACCCCACGGCAGCCTCCTGGGAGACCTGGCCTCCAGGTAAGGCCCGTTTGGCCGTCCTGCTTCCAAATCCCCCTCATCCCTGTCCCTCTCGGAGAGGGGAGAGCACCCAAGCGCATCCCTGTCCCTCTCGGAGCGAGTGGGGAGCACCCAAGCGCAGAAGGCTGTGGATGCCAAAAGCCACCTCGTTTGGGTGCCAAAAGACGCCCTGTTGGGGCACCAAAGGCCACCCCGTTTGGGGGCCATGGACACTGAAAGCCACCCCATTTGGAGGCCGAAAGCAGCCCCATTTGGGGGCCATGGGCGCTGAAAGCTGCCCCATTTGGGGGCCGTGGGTGCCAAAAGCCACCCCTTTTAGGGGCTGAAGGCCACCCCGTTTGGGGACCGTGGGTGCTGAAAGCTGCCCCATTTGGGTGCCAAAAGCTTCCTCGTTTGGGGTCCATGGGTGCCGAAAGCCACCCCATTTTGGTGCCAAAAGCTGCCACATTTGGGAGCTGAAAGCTGCCCCGTTTGGGGGCCATGGGCACCGAAAGTCACCACATTTGGGCACCAAAAGCCAGCCCGTTTGGGGTCCATGGGTGCCGAAAGCCGCCCCATTTGGGTACTGACGGCCACCCCGTTTAGGGGCTGAAAGCTGCCTTGTTTGGGGTCCATGGGCGCCGAAAACTGCCCTGTTTGGGGTCCATGGGCGCCGAAAACTGCCCCATTTGGGGTCCATGGGCATCGAAAGCCACCCCGTTTGGGGACCATGGGTGCCAAAAGCCACCCTGTTTGGGTGCCAAAAACTGCGCCATTTGGGGACTGTGGGTGCCGAAACCCACCCTATTTGGGCACCAAAAGCTGCCCCGTTTGGGGGCTGTTGGTGCTGACAGCCGCCCCGTTTGGGTGCCGAAAACTGCCCCATTTGGGGAGCGTGGGTGCCAAAAGCCGCCCCATTTGGGCGCCGAAAGCTGCCCTGTTTGGGGGCTGTTGGTGCCGAAAGCTGCCGCGTTTGGGCGCTCGCCACCGTGCTCACAGCCTCCCCGCTCTGCCTCGCAGCGACGTCGCCGTGGAGCTGCCCTTCACGCTCATGCACCCCAAGCCCAAGGAGGAGCCGGCGCACCGGGACGGTGAGTGCCGGCGCGCGGGCAGCGTCACCGCGGGCTGGTGCCRCCAGCCGAGCCGCTGACCCCCGTGTCCCCCTTCCTCCCCGCGCCCAGTTCCGGAGAACGAAGCTCCCATCGATACCAACCTCATAGAGCTGGACACAAAGTAAGAGGCGCCGCGTTGCAGGGCGCCTGCCGTCGCCGCGCTCGCTCCGCCGCGGCACCGCGCGCGGCCCCGCTAACGCCCACCCTGCCTGGCTAACACACGCCCTGCCTGTCTCTCTCCTCTGCCCCTCTCCTCGCATGTCTTTGCAMGCAGGATAATCACAGTAAGGAAGCGCCGGGATGGTGGGGAGGGGGAACTGGGCACGTGGAAGTTGCTCCGGTGCACGCGCCAAAGTGCGCGGATAATCCCAGGGGGGACACAAGGGGTCGGCAGTGCGGAAACCTTTTGCAAATGCCGTTTGCCAAGGCTTCGGAAGGGTTTTGCCAAGGCTTCGCAAGGGTTTTGCCAAGGGGTTGCCTCTTTGGAAGCGCCTGGCGCTGCCCGTCCCGCCGCTCACGCGCGCGTGTCCCCCGCCCCGGCAGTGACGACGACATCGTGTTCGAAGACTTCGCCCGGCAGCGGCTCAAGGGCATGAAGGACGACAAGGAGGAAGAGGAGGAGCGCGCCGCGTCGCCGCCGCCGCTGCTCAACGACAGATAAGGGCCCCGCCGCCTCGCCCCGCCGCCCGCCCGCTTCTCTTTTCTACGCGGCTCCGTTTCGGTTTCGAGCGGCGCCGGGAGCCGACCTGGCACCTCCGGCCGCCCCCGCGCGCTCAGACCTTCCTTCTCCATCCACGCTCGGGATGGGGCCGCGGGCGCTGGGCCCCTCTCGCCCTTCACCACGTGGAGAGTTGGGGGCAAACGCGAGCGGGCCGTGTGGTACTTCTTTTTTTCTTTTTTTTGGGGGGAAAGTGGTTCCTTGGTCCCGTCCGTCCATCCGTCCGTCCTTGGCTTTTTCGGTTTCTCCACCGTTAACCTGTGACGTTTCCATGTTGGGTCAAATAAATTATTCTAGTTTATTAAACTGGGAAAAAAAAGGAGCCGCAGTGCCCGTGTCTGGGGGGGAACACAGAGGGCAAACCCCGGAACATCATTCCTGCTTTCCAGGGGTAGGGAACAGCATTCCCAAGGCCCTCCTGAAGCGTTTCCATGAGAAGGGCCCTGGCGCAGGCTCTCCCGGGTCCAGGCTTCCCTCCCCCTTGCCCAGGCAGCTGTAAGTACTTAATATCTTGGCCATCTCAAGTACTTTGTCAAAGCCGGTTCAAGCCGGCCAGGAAGGGCCCAAGTTATTTAGGGAATAAAAAGGGAAGTTTAGACAAGTACAAACTGTGCTATTGCTTAAGCCTCATTTCCCTAGAAAAGAAATATCARGCGCGTTTGCTTCCTTGTTCCCTGTCACGGGGGAAAGGCTCCGTGCACCGGAGCACTCGGGCTCTGCAATGGGGAGACGATGCCCAGCCGACGTGGGAGCCTTTRATGGTGGAACGAGGGGCTTGGGAGACATGGAGAGAGCAGCGGATGCGCGAGGATGAGGAGTGGACATCATCTGTTCATGGGGATGGATGAGGAAGCGCGGAGGATCCTTCTCAACACGTATAAACAGGCGTGTCCCCCCTTCAGGGCGTGAAGACGGAGCCGGATTCTCCTCAGCGGTGCCGTCACAGGGCGGGAATCGAAACACAGGGAAGGGAAGGGCATGCAACACTTTGCTCGAGCTTTTTTGGGACGTGTTGCCTGGAGGGGCTTGTGGAGTCTCCATCCTTGGGAGATGCTCAAAACCCACCTGGCCTCGGTCCTGGGCACCCTGCTCTATCTGGCCCTGCTTTTGAGGGGGCCTGTCCAGAYKATTTCCAGGGGTCCCTTCCAACCCCAGCTGCTCTGCGATTCTCTCAGGCTTGGCCTTGCTGCTCCTAGGCACCAGCTAGTCCACCATGTCCCTGCAAAGGAGAGAGCAAAAGAAACAGCCTGGTTGCTGGGAAGACTCCAGGGCCATCCCTTCTCCTCAGAGAGTCCACCTTGCGAGGCCCCTTGCTGGGACCCGCTCCAGACTGGAGCCCATTCCCTTCACTGGGAACCACCAAGCTACAGAGTGTCCCAGTCTGGGGCTCTGCCCATCTCGGGGGCTGCTGGGGAAGTTCTGCTTCTCCTCCCCTGCCAGCGCGGGCTGGAAGAGCCCACACGGCTCGTGTTGGGAGGGGATCCCATTGTAGCTACAACCCCGTGGCTTTCCCAACGGTGTTTTAGACTTGGGAAGCACGAAATCACCACAGCACAGACTCTTAGTTCCTTAGAGCAGGAACTCTATGACTCTTTTCTTAGAGTTCCTGCTTGTGAACACTACAGCACACGCTCTGTAGGCCCATGACAACACGAGGGCACAGTGTTCTCTGCTGGTAGATGCCCTCGGCGTTACAGGCTCTTACACACAGCTACAATCTGAACAAGTGACACAATCAAAATTCTGACTGTATAAAATAGTATCTGTTACACTTGGGCCTGCTAGCTACATCTGTAAGTAAACAGGAATCTCGCGGCGTGTGCGGGCTAGACCGTCGACAGGAAACACCCTGAGGCTCACCCAAAATTTCCTCTACCCACAGCTCTCACGAGCCTGAACCCAGTCCCAAATGTGCAGGGAGCCATCGCTGGCCGCTGACAACAAAGTCCGGGGTTTCTGGGGGTGCCACGTGTGCGCTGTGACCACGGGAGGGCCTTCGCTGCCATCGGGTCCGCCGAACACGTGGCCTTTGTGGACGAAGAGCGGCTCTGCTTCCCTGCCGGAGCCATCCCAGCTCCGGGTGTCATAGACGTGTACGGTCCCATCAAAACCTGGAATAAAAGRGAGGCAGAGAGCAAAGTCACCACCAGCTGCTCCCACTGTCTCGTGGGCTCCCACTGCCCTCCCTGCAGGGCTGCTGGGGCAAAGGGGGACAGAAGCCCAGGTCCAAGGGCCAGGAGAGCAGAGGGTCCGAGCTTTGGAGGACCTCATCTTAGAAGTTGGTTGCTGCCAACTTTGGGGAGAACCCAAATGCCAAAGGCTTGGCCAGCAGCCCTCCTAAGAGGGGTCCTCCCCAGGGTGTTTAAAGTGASTTTGAAGTGGGGGTCTTGGTGCGAGGACACAGATGACACAGCCCCCAGGGAAGAGGCGCCCAAACCCCGTACCTGAAACGGCAAGGCAGCCTTCTAGAGCAGGAGCCCAAGAGACACACAGGAACTCGGCGCTCGGGCTGGGAGAGGAGACACTGCACTTGGCCCAGGCCAGGGGCTCGGAGACCTTCCTTAGGTCCGTCAGCGTGAGCTGCCCTGCGCTCGAGAGGCGAGCTACGGGCCGGGAGCTCGGGGCAGGGCCTGGGGGGCCGTGCCTGACCCCCATGCACCACCGCTGGCCGCACGGCACCRAGGGGACGGCCCCGGCCTCCAAGGGCCCCTGCGGCTGCCGCGTGTCCGCCAGGCACAGCTGCCCCTTGGCGCAGCACACGAGCAGCGTGTTGCAGTCCAGGAAGGCCACGTCGCTGAGCTCCTCGCTGCTCCTGGAGGCTGAGGAAAGGAGAGGTGGGTTTTAGGTGCCACGAGAAGTTATTTCCATAATGTGATTCTGCTACAATCCTGCCCAAAGAAGCAGATTTTCAGCCTTGTCCCTTGAAGTGGCTTTCAAACAATTCTACTACTTCATTCATGGCCAGCARCATAGACCAAGAACCTCCCAGGGACCCATCTCTGCTTCCATGCATAGCCCGTGTCCTTCAGAAGGAGAGAGGAGACACACAGGCCCATGACTGTCACCAGAAGGGTCAGACAGAGCTGATCCTCCCTTGTTTTGCTCATCTCACTGAGTTGGACACACAGAGACCCCTTCTTCTCCCCTGGGAACACAGTGAGCAGGAACTGAGTTCTTCTGAGCACGTAAAGCCCTGTGCTGCATTGAGAAGGCACCTCCCTTGCTTGGGATGACTCGGAGTAAAGTTCACAGGCAGGTTAGAGTCTCCATGGGGCACTTGCTTAACCTCTCCAACACCCAACCAACAATTTTGACAGGATAGACACATTCAGGAACTCCATAAGTCGGCAGTTTGCAAATATCTTTATGCCCTTTGGCACATGCCTGAAAATATCCCATAAGAGAGTGAAGCATTTGCTACGCAAGGAGTTGCAGCCTTGCCTTCCCCAAACCTCATCTTTCCGAGCACAGGTAAGGCTGTGCTTTGTTTACCTGCTACGTAGACGTTTTTCTTGGATTCAACCTCTGTAACTTGGACGTTGTTGAGCCTTGAGCCATGAAGAACCCACGGGGCTCGGGCAGAAGTGGCTGCAATTTTAGCCCAAGGTTGCCCCGTGCCATTTTCGGTGGAAATGGAACTTACAGATTTAATAACATCTATATGGGAGAGAGAGATAAGTAGCCGTAAAATAGGCCAGGACACAAATAACCTATTTTTGCACTAAGATGCATCACATAGCCCACAGTGACCCTCTAAACCAGAATGAAATCATGACAAAAGCTTCCCAGACAAAAGCTGCTCTTCTCAACACATCAAGCAAGGATAGTGAACAAAGCAAACCGAGGCATTCCCAGGATTTCACCAATTCCTCTCCTTATTTTATCCCTGGGAAGCAGAGAGACTGGTAGGGAGAGTAGCTCGTGGTGCTACCAACACAAAGGCTGCAGTAAGAAGCTCCTCAAGCCCAGAAACATGTTCCCTTACCAGAATCCTCTGCTGACACCTGCCACACCTGGAGGGAACTGTCTGGGGGGCCACTTGTCACCAACAGGCTGAGGAAACAACAAGAAAAACAGCACAGGATCTTCAGGAGCAGAGAAGAGCCACCTTCTCCTGGCTTGGGATGCACCAGTTGTGATGGGCACRGTTGTGCTCTGGCCATGGCTACCACGTTCAGGAGCTCCCATCCATGCTTGGAGCAGACACGGAGCCATAAGGACAGGGATCCTCCAATTYCTCATCCCAGGGCACCCTGCACAGCCCAAGTGTGATCCCAGGCATTAGCATTTGACTAGTGCATGTGAGAACAGCAGGAGATTAACAAGAGGGAGAAGTGCAGCATGGTCTTGTGTAGAAGGAAAGAGGAGAATACTGAAAGGGACCAGCCAGGGAAGAATGTTTGTGTGATCTTCAAATAAAAATATGGAAAAATCTTCTTATCCTGCATGTGGAGAAACTTAGAGAACAGCCACAGCAGCCACTCTGCGAGCCAAGTGCCCAAGCCCTGTGGGAGCCACCAACTGRGAGCTCTCCCAATGGAGAAGGGAAGGGAAAGGCAGCGGGGGAAGCCGTACCTGGTGTCTGGCACGTGCTTCAGGCTGTACACCGGGCGGCTCGAAAATCCACCGCATTCCACCTTGAAATCTCTTTCTGGACACAGACCCTAGGAACCAGAGGCAGACGGAGCCATCACTTCTGAGGCTGCAAAGCTCAGAAGCTTGTGGGGCCACTTGCCCCACAAAAGGCAGCAAAGGGGACGAGGCAACACACCCAGAGCAAAGCTCTCGCCTTTCCACAGGTGCTTTTTGCAACAGTAAGACTGACAAAACACAAAATAGTTAAAAAGCTATGAAAAAAAATGTGGAGAAAGGCACTGCCAAGAGCTCTGCTGTGTGAGTTTCGCTCGAAGGGGCAGAGAAGTCCACAGTGCAAAAGCACCATGAAAAATAGAGGTCACRTTGCCTGCTATGGGTGTGAGGAGATGCCTGAGGTGTGTTGAGTGCCCCGGGGTGAAGCAGCAGCCACCAGGAGCGTTTCCCTGCACTGTGCCAAGTCACAGGTGCCACCAGCAGCTCGGGCAGCAGCCCTGTCCTCTGCAACATGGCAGCTCCAATGAGGTCCTTCCTCCTCACTGGCCTCTGTCTCCTCATCCCTGTTATTTCCCAACCGGCTGCTGCCATCCACACACCTCAGGAGGAAGCTGTTAGGGCACAACCTGCCTGCAGATGACCACAGGAGTGTGCGACTGCCTCAAAAGGAGGGCAGACAATCACAGAATCCTTAGGGTTGGAAGGGGCCTCTAGAGATGATCGAGTCCAACAAAGAGCTTTTGGGATGGACCAAGAGCTGGCTGAGAGGCTGTCAAAGTGGCAGGGGCTGAGACCTGGCTTGTGGAGGCCTGTCCTATCCCTATATGCCCAGTCCAATGGCATCTGCAGACTGAGCACTCGAAGCTGGAGGGGGACAGGGGGGCCTGGCACTGACCGGACACAGCACCCACCTGGGTCTCCTTCGCCTGCAGCGTCGGCGGCAGCAGCAGCTGCAGGATCTCGTTCCCGCCGGAGTGTCCGTACCCGGCCACGCAGATACCTGGATGGGGGGGTCCGGGGACACGGTGAGGGTCACACCCCTGCCCGGCCCACCCCAAGTCAGACCCTGGAGCAGAGGTTGGCTACCTTGAACCCCGGGGCAACCTTGAACCCTTGGGACCACCCTGAACCCTGGGGCCACCTGCACTAGTGGCCATGGGTCCCACAGGGCCTGTGGGGGGTTCCAATACAGCCTCATTCACCCCCCCCGGGACAGCCCTGTCTCTGACCCCCCCAACTCAGCCCCAACCCCCCCGATATGACCCGATCCCAGATCCCGCCATACATCCCTATATCCCTTCCGTCCCCYCTCCCAGGCTCCCGGCCCCTCTTTTTTCCCCCGCACTCACGGCTCCCTCGGGCCCATTCGATAACGCGCGTGGGCGCCTGGAGCTCGAACGTGTGGAGCGCCTCGTACCTGCAGGGCAGAGGGCGGCGGGTTGAGGAGACCGGTCCCAGTGTCCCGGTCCCGGTGTCCCCCCCCGCCGCCATCTTCCCCGCCGCGGCCCTCACAGGCGCAGGGACTCGAGCAGCCACTCGTCCTCCATGGCAACGCGTCGCGCCCGTGACGTCAGCGCGTCGCGCCCGCCGTGACGCGCCCCGCGGCGCTTCCCGCCTTTTGCGTGGGCGGGAAGCGCTGAGGGGAGAGGCGGCGGCGCYTGAGGGGAGGCGCGTGATTCCCGTCGGGAAAGCCCCTCCATTCCCCTCTTATCGCCCTGATGTTGACTAAGCTGCGGGAAACGCAGCGCAGCGTTGGGTATGAGCGTGGAAAAGACTCTGAGAGGCACCTTGGCCCTGTTGCGATAACATCCTCGCTCATTTTAACAATCCTTGTGCATTTTAACAGATTAAARTGCAAGTAACAGCACTGCAAGGCCTTCATGCAGATTTATGCATGCARTGCAACTAATAACTGCATGGATTTATGTGCTACTCCCCCAAGAGCCAGCTGCGTGAGCAGTTTTCAACTCAGAAGCCTCCCAAGTCCTCAGAAACAGGATCCAGGCTCTCTTCTGCCTTTCTGCTTCCCCATAGCGCAGGATGTTTGTGTTACTAGTTCCCATATTTATTTTTGGCTGCCCGATGCTCTCRAACGTGCTGCCGATTTGCTGATGGGCCCCGTGTTCGTCAGCCCCCACCATGATGATGCTGAAACTAAGTGGGGCTTTCGCAGGATAACTATGGTTTTCTCTCYCTTGCAGCTGCAAAAATTGGAAATTTGGTGAATTTTCTGAATATTGGGCCTTTCCCATCGGTGCTGCGAGGCGAGCCTGTTTTCTCTAACGCTGCAAGGTGGCAGCCTACAACTTCCAAGGTAAAAATGACTGKTTTTTTTTGCAAGCCTGCGTCTGAACGGGCATCTTTTAATCTGCTGCACGTCCCCTGCGCTGTTGGACACTCTGTTCTGTTTATTTGTTTTTTCCCTTGTCTTTCAGGCTGCCTTCAATGTCAGGGGAGAAGTGACCAGAGGAAGGTCATCAGAGGGCCCCGAAGGTGCTTTGGGCTGTTTATTAGGCCCATTTATTAGGGCCCTGCTCTCATCTGGACGCTTGGAGCCATTTTAGGGCTTCCCTCCCTAGGGGAAAGGAGCAAGAAGCCAAAGCAAAACTCAGGATGGAGGAGGAAATGTGAAATGAAGGGCAGAAAACCAAGCTCGGGAGGCAGAAGCTGGAGCCAGTTGATGTGTGAAGTGTTTCTCCTTCCAAGCAGCGCTGGTGCTGACACCTTTTGCTTTGTCATCTCAAGGCAGCTTGGCCTAAAACACAGGAAAAGAGTGGCGAGAATTCTCATGGACAGAGGGGAAAGTGTTTCGTTCTCCTTTGCTGCAAAAAAAGAGCCCTGCGGTCTGAAATACGCTCGCCGCTGCTGCATCAAGCGTGTTTTACCCCATCTCTTGATATATCACAATGGAAAAAGCACAGAATATTGAGTAAGCCTCTTGTGAAGGAGCTGAAGGGAGCAGCCTGGGATGCCGTGYGTGCTTTTCAATATAAAGAACATGCTGCTTACAATATCTTGGAAATTCAGGGTATTCCATGATGGTGGTGGCCCGTGAATGGAGCAGTCACCACGCAGCAGCCTCCCTKCACATCAGGGCCAGCCCTGCTGCCTGCATTTGAGACTTTTTCACCTGGAATATTGGCAGCAGAAGGAAAATAGGGAAGTGTTGCTATTTCCACCATCTGTCTCTGGCATTTCCACTGCCCGGCGTGTGACTTGTGGTCCCCAGCAGGCTGGGGTCTCAAGTGAGCTCTGGTTAAGAGAAAAGTCCTCCTGAGTCTCCTGCAATAGCAGAGGAAGGTCCCGGCTGTGCAAGTCTGCAGAAGGAAGGCGAAGTTAAGTGATTCCTACAGCTACTCCAAGGGTTTTTCGCAGAGTTGTGGGAAGCAGAACTGTTGGAGCACCAGTTGCTTCCCAGAATGCAAAAATGTGACGTTCAGTGGGTTCAGGGTTTGCATTTGGCTTGCAGTCAGTTCTCCCTTTAACTAGCCTTTTAACTTGCCTTTTATTTCATCTTCTCTGTAACTCCCCTGTGGACAAAAGCGACAAAATCAAAAAGTGCAAGAAAAGAGTAAAATCCCTCCTATATCACAGGGAGGGTGATACATCATGCAAGGTGGCTGCAGCACTTTGGAACAGCACGTTTTTCACAGTCCCTTCATGAAAATGAAGATTTTTAATCTCAGCGTTTTGAACAAGAGGAAAGGGTAAATTTGGAAACAGTCGCCACAGAGCTGGGAAAATAGGAGCTAAGGATCAGTAGGAGCTGTATTTGCTGTATAAATTCAGAGCACCCCAAAACCATTTGCTCAGAATATTTCTTTTTTTCAGTCTTAGCTGTTTCTCTGCGCTCACGTGCTTCAAGTTACGGCTGTTTTTGGGCAGCCTCGTAGATCTGTAGGTTGGGCAAAGAGACTGAACTTGCTAGGAATGGAAATAATGAGCCTGCGAACCCCGACACGCTCTTTAAAAGGAATGAAATCTTACTCGCCTCCTAGATATCCAAGTAGTCTCCAGTCCGAATGTTCCACAGCAGTTAATCACAAGAATAATAATATTTGTGGTTACTATGTCTGTAGCGGAGCCACCCTCGAAAGTTTGAGAAGAGACAGGCGCGGAGCGTTGTTTGGACTGACTTTGCTGTAGTTTCTTCTGCACAAACACAAATCCATCCCCTTCTGCAGCACATGCTTGTGGATGTGCAGAGCCACAGGGCTTTTGCTGAAGGCCAGATGCTGCTCGGATTGAAAGAAAAGGTACGCTGGTGTCCTCTGCTTTCTGGAGCAGGTTCCTGCAGCAGATGGGGAGTTTGTGGCCTGATAAAGCTGCATGCAGGAAGGACGTGTTCCCATCTCACTTGTCCCATGTGTGCGTTGAGGAAAACCAAGGTGTTTCGGGTGCTCGCAGCACCCAGAGCAGCTTTTGGAGGAGGTCTGAAGAAGAAAGGGCAAGGTTAAGGTTGGAACGGACTTCTRGAGATCATAGAATCACAAAGGTTGGAAGGGACCTCTAGGGATCACCCAGTCCAACCTTCCTGCTCCATCAGGGACACCCGGAGCACGGGGCACCCGCTCCATCCCGGCGCGGTGGGAAGGTCTCCAGAGCAGGAGCCTCCGCAGCCTCCCTGGGCAGCCTCAACCAGGGCTCGGGCACCCTCCCACCAAACAAGTTCTTCCCCACGGCCACATGGAGCTGCCCGGCCTCCAACCTGCACCCACTGCCCCTTGKCCTGCCCCTGGCCACCACCCACAAGAGCTTGGCCCCTTCCTGCCTCCATCCTCCCCTCGGCTGCTTGCACACACTGACCAGSTCCCCTCTCGGCCTCCTCTTCTCCAGCCTCAACAGGCCCCGCTCGCTCGGGCTCTCCTCGTACGAGAGATGTTCCAGACCCTTCATCATYTTGGTTGTCCTCCGCTGGACCCTCTCTAGAAGCTCCACATCCCTTATGCTGGGGAGAACCTCAAGAGTAAAAGGGAGCCTGACTATAGAGGCAGTCCGGGTGAGCATGGGGTCATTTGAACCAGCATTTTCCTATGAAGAGATGCAGAAAATGAGGCTGTTTTGTAGTTTTTCCTCAGTTAATCCATTATTGGGGTCTGGGCATTCCATAATCTGCTGGGATAAGTGCCTGCTAGTGCTGCAATCTTGCAGAAGACTCTTGGGTCCAATTAAAGGCGAGAGGAGAGACACAGTGTCCCTCAAAGAAATTGYACTAGGTGGACTTTTCCTTGCTACAGAGATCCTTGAAAAAGGAGAATGATAAATGAGGAAATTCCAAGGCAGTCCAGAGTGCCTCACAGAGATGATGTCTACCTGGACCTTAAGAACATCCATTATCTGATGTAGAWGCACCTTCCTGTCATGGCTGCAGTAGAGGTGATGCTCAGTACTGCTTCTTTGAGGGGTCTGATGAGACTTGTGTTTGGAGATGATGAGACGTGATGCTTAGATGAGACGTGCTTGGATGGATGAATTACTGGAAAATTTGGTACAACTCCCTGGTTGCCACCAAACAGCCTCTCTTTAGGACCAAGTTTAAGATTGGGAAAGAGTATTTCCCTCTGGCCCAAGTAGTGCCAGTCACTGTGACATGTGAGGGAGAGGGTGAAGTAAAGTGGGGTCTTCAGGACCTACCTGTGAGAAAAATACCCCAACTGGGACCACTGGGCTTGCACTGCAGTCGTTGATTATCTCCCTTTTGGAGATGGGGATGCAGACACACTGCAAAGTCAGGTGCTGCTGTGCATTGGGAAGGGAAGTTGGGTAAGTTGGGAAGGGAATTACTGCCAAGAATCCCTGAAATCTCTCATCTTTTTATGGAAAACAGCATCTTTGTAGCTAAAATGCCAATACATGGATTTTTCTCTCATTCTTGTCATTCAGCTGTTGAATACTGAAGACCTCATGCAAGTTTCAATGGCCAGAGAGCCCATCAGACCTCCTCCTCTGCTGTTCYTCTGCAATCCAGACCCACACAAACTGCAATGGCCCGGCCTGTTCCCGGAGGAAAAGCTCTTTATTCCAGTGGAGGTAACTTTGTTAACAGAAACCAAACCAATAGGTGGGATTTGGAGATGGTGGTGCCCTCCRATCGCCACTGAGCTGGAGGTGCACGAGGCTGCTCTCAAAACAGCTTCCAATTTTGAGCATTTTGAGCAAGTTTCCATCCTTGCAGGTCTCGTGTCCTGGATGGAGGCCCTGCCCTGGCTTATTCCTCAAAAGGACTTTCCTCTAGCTCTGCTTGATTCACCTGTAAAGAAAACCATTAAGGTCATCACAGCATAATCTGTTTAATTAGAGGTCATTTTATTAATGTGTATTAATGGTTCAAGGACCAGGATCTACGGATTTAAGGACTCTAAAACAGTTGAATTGTTTGGAAGGATGCACTTCCCTAGAAGTATTTCCTGCTTTCCCTAGGATACCTAATTAATACATCTGCTGTCTTTAACAGCTTTTCCCACTCATAACATTTGCAGAATTGTAGTAATATTCTTGTTTTGCCTGTCCTCAGCAGAATTCATTTACTTGCATCTCATCAAATCTGGGCCTTTTAGACTCCCGTGACCTGTTCAAGGTCCAACATGATGCATTAACAGCAAAGGTGGCAAATTTTGCACACATTTCCTAGATTCCCTTTTTTTACTCTTATTTTGCGAGTTGTGCTAATGCTCTGATAAAAACCCAGTTAACTTTGTTATCTGTTCAAGTGACCCGTCTTTGCTGCATGTTGAGTGCTTGATTTCATCAGCATCTTATGACAACTGCCATACTTTAATTAATGAACTAGTTTTTGCTGCCTGTCTCGTTAAGTTTATGTTTCTGAGATATGAGAACAGACATATGGCATAGGCTTTTTCAGTGCTATTTACGRAGAAATACAGCTTTTCCCCCACTTTTTTTCCTGGTCCAAATCTCTTGTAATTTATTCTCCACACTTTTTGTTCTGTCTACAATAAATGTGAAAAGCAGTGCCTGGACTGTGGTTCCTTTGCATGCATTTGAGGACTGCTATCAAATAACCCCTCAATCATCTCCTCAGATCAAACAACCCAAGTCATCCTTTTTTTTTTTTCCCCCTGAAATCCATGAGTTCTGGCAGTTTCCATCCCTGCCTTCCTCATTTTGGAGAGCTCTTGCATTTATCCCCGTGCAGACAAAATTCCTGGGCTCTGAGAAATACAAGTATTTTGTTTGTGCTTTCTTCAACTGCGTAATCATGAAGCAGATCTGAATACAGCTCCAAGCAAGATGCCAAAATACATTCCTACTGATACGAAAATAGTGGTTTTGTCCTCAAAAATCTTTTGATCTGAAAGGGAACCATTTTCTGCAGGTGTGCTGCGAGGTATGTGTGCTCTTTGGATGTGTTTTCATTAGCTCTTTGCAACATGCACTGGAAGAACTCGGAGAGCAAGATTTACCAAGAAAGGAAAAAGATTAGGAAGGTACTCAGAAGATAGATTTTTTTTTTTCCCAAGTCCTTCAAAAATTCTAAGTTGACAGTGGAAGGGCATCACTTACTTGCTTCCGCGGAGGAGTTTTACTGTCTTGTCTCTTTCTTCTAARTCGACATCTATAATATGAAGCAAAAGTGTTCAGTGGACATGAACTTGGGGTAGAGATTTCATGCAGAATAAGATGCTTTAGACTATAGATAAGCACCTCATGTAAAATATTGARGTTTTTTTTTTGAGATCATGTTCTCTGACCTGGATGTTTAATAAGAAAGTAGAACTCTTAAATTAAAGCCAGTCTAATATTGACACATACCAGGAACTAGAGGATATATAGGATAGAGGATGTAAATCCTCTATAGGATAGAGGTAGCTAAACTGGCTATAAATGACATAACAGGGTGCCAAACAGCCTTGCTGCACAGAGCAGACCAAACCTCCATGTGATTTATCCTATTTCTTGGCAGAATAAATGAACAGCAAGATACTTAAGTAAGTGTTTATCCTGCACACACAATTTTACACTCTGTCTTCCTTTTTTTTCAACTTTTGTGTTTTTCAGTGGATAAAAAATGTAAAAAGAAATGCAAATAAGCCCTCTGGGAAAGAGAAAAAGAGGATCCATTTAGAAAAAGTGGAACTTTCTGACTTTTTTTTCTGAAATTAGGCACAATTTATATTTCAAAATTTCTGTGGGAGACTTTTAAAGATGTTGCACTTCGTTAAAAATAATTGGGGGCCCTGGCTGTCATTCCTGCATTACAGGCAGTTGTGACAAAGCCCTGCTCACAGATCAGAGCACATGTGGTTGGGTTACTGCTGGGAACCCTGATTGGAAATTGTTGGAAGTGCCTCGGTTTTCCCTAATAACGTGGCAATGGGTGGGATTTTACCTACCTTTGAAACATCCGCGAGATCTTGGCCCTGTTGTACAGCAAAACAGCCGCAAGCAGGAAGAATAAAAAAAGCGCTCCGAAGGTTTTCCCCAAATTCCTTGCAACTCCTTCCACTGGGATGATGGAGAGAGAGAATGTTACACTCYGCGCACACCTGATATTCCCAACACGGAAGCAGTGGCAGTTTAKGGGATATGTGCACGTGTCCATGTGGGCTGGCGTGTGTCCCCTCTCTGCTGGGTGCCTCCTGGACTGGAGCTGCCAGGAGACTCATCCCAAAGCATCTAGGCAGGTTCCTATAGGATAGGAGCTATAGTATAAGCCTGGAACCAGGGAGTCCCCTGACCAGGGACCGCATCAGTAGGAGCTTGAGGACATCATGAAGGAGAAGGGAGGCTGTCCATGGTGTCACCTTATGAAGATGCACAAATAAAGAAATATCCAAGTATAGTGCTGGAATATARGTAATATGAACAGAGTATCTGCTAATGATTGACCCATTGCAGGAGAGGGGATGTGGATTCTTCATCCCTTGGAGATAGATGGGCAAAACACCCTACTGTGTTGGACAAGCTGCTCGATCTGACCCCCTGCTTGAGTAGGTGGATTGGACYGGATGATCTCCAGATGTTCCTCCAAATCCCAGCTATTCTGCACTTTTGTGTTTCACAGAATCACGGAATGGTTAAGGTTGGAAGGGACCTCTGGAGATCATCTAGTCCAACCTTCCTGCTCCAGCAGGGACATACAGAGCACGGGGCACAGGGTGGCATCCAGGCGGGTTGGGAAGACCTCCAGAGAAGGAGACTCCAAACCTCCCTGCGCAGCCTGCGTCAGGGCTCTGTCACCCTCACAGTGAAGAAGTTCTTCCTCATGGGRAGATGGAACTTCCTGTGTTGCAACTTAGACCCATTTCCCCTTGTTCTATCATTGGCCACCACTGCGTTTCAGCAATTACACTTGTTAGACGCCTGGTAGAAACTGGTAAGCGAGGGGAAATGCGTCACACGGTGTCGCAGGAGCTGAGGAAGGGCGTGGAGAAGGCAGCCGAGCCACAGAAGCACGCGGAGACCACAGAGGTCGGAAGCGGTCTGCTCCACACGCCGGTCACTGTGCCGGCAGCAGAGCCAAGCTGAACCCCAGTGTGTTGACTGGGAAAAGGAGGAGCGTAGGTGTAAGATCGTGCACCCCAAACCCTGTACGAGGGGGCTTGGGGAGGAAGAAGGATGAGGAAGAGCTTGAAAGCTTGAAAGAARCAAGGGGCAATGGGTGGAAGTTGCAACACAGGAAGTTGCATCCTCCATATGAGGAGGAACTTCTTTACTGTGAGGGTTACAGAGCCCTGGAACAGGCTGCCCAGGGAGGTTGTGGAGTCTCCTTCTCTGGAGGTCTTCAAAACCCACCTGGATGCCACCCTGTGCCCCATGCTCTGAGTGTCCCTGCAGGAGCAGAAAGGTTGGACTAGATGATCTCTAGAGGTCCCTTCCAACCTCAACCCTTCTGCGATAACAGGTAAAAAAGGAATCYGACATGACTAAATGGTGAGGGAGAAACTTGAGTGATGTCACGTGAGCGAGCCAAGTTGTAGGATATGAAAGGACAGATGGAGAACTGCTGAAGTTGACCAAAAAAAAGAAAAAAATGAAGCTGAGGGAGGCAGTGGGCTGTGCAGAACAGTCCCACTCCACCACACTTACGGAGAAGAGAAGGAGGAGGCCCACTGTCAATGCTGCCTCCAAAGCCTTCCAGTTTGCAGTCCGGAGGCGCCCACCCAAAATCACAGTGACAATTCCTCTTATTGTTGCACACCTGAAAGGAAAGAAAAGTATTTTAAGGCATAAAAAAAATCCTGCACACTCTGTGTTTCTGCAGCAGAGGGGCTGCCAACACAAGTCACTGGCAGGGGCAGCAGAGACAGGCTGTAGAAAATACGTAGCCTAAGGTTTTTTTCCGTGTGTTTTCCAATATTTAACTTATTTTGTGACAATATTTAACTTATTTTGTGTAAAGGTGATTGCTGCTGCCCAGGGCCGCGACTGCCATGGGTTTTGTGGCTTGTACCTATCATGAGGTGTCCACCCCATCAGTGAAGGGAGGGCAGTGGGAGTCCTTGATCCACCACCTCATCCTGGCATTGGGGTGATGGCCAAGTGAAAGACGATACAAAAAATCCATGTGTGGACTAATGATGTCAGTATGAATATCTGAAATGCCTATATTAGGTAAGAACAGCGGTACAAAATCTGCCATTTCTTTAGCATCTGCAAACGAAGTGAAACGAAGTGTTTGCAGATGAAATGCAAGGTGGTTTGGGGATGTTTTTCTCTAACTGGCTAACTGAAATTCAGCAGCACAGACAGGTGCAATGAGGACTCAGAGCTTCAATGTGAAGTTGACTTTCACTTTCCTTCAGGAAAAGCAGAAAAATGGGAAAAAATGTACAACAAAACTGCAGTTAAAAGTGCTGAGGACCTTCAGAGCAGAATTTGGGAGGACAGTTGCTGGCAAACAACAAAGCCAACTGCATTGCTGAAGCAGGAGCCATTCAGACCTTCTAACATTGCTTTTGAGGTRCTGCATGCAGATGGATATTTCATAAATTCTGGATTTTCAAAGGATTTTTTCTGCGGAGATGTTTTCTGCTTACCCCTCTGCCGCTGCATTTTTTATCCGTACAGTCATAGTTGAGATACATTGCGCTGACACATGTCCTGTTCAAACATACCTGCAAAAACAGGCATTTATATGAATGAAATGGTAAAAAGACAGCAATTAGGAAAGAACACTTATGGTGAACAGGATAAAACTACCAAGAAACTGCCTGGAACTACAGAGTGTTTTGCTTGCTCCAACTTGGCAGATCTTCATAGCTCTAGGAGACACAAAAGCCTCCTCTGAACAAGAGAAAGGAGGACATATATTTTCAATTTCTTGTCTCCAAGTGAGTTATTTTGGGTCCCTCTGGTACTGTGAGATCTGCATCTCCTGGAAAGGGAACCCTAATGAAATTGAAACTCAAGAGCTCCTTCGAAACCCTTTTGATGGACCTTAGCACCTCTGTTTTTCTTAGAAGTATTTTTTGCTCCCAGGTAATAGGAGGAAACAGATACTTGAACATGTCACCTCCTTGACCAGAGCTTGGTCAGGTGCATTGATTATTTGGTCTACTGCTCTTCTTGGAAGAATCTTTAAAATTCTCTCATACACATAACAGTCTTTGACTTCAGACAGACTTTGGCTTCTATCTGAGATCAAGAACATTTTTAGGAACAAAACCCCTCCATTTAATCCCTCCATCTTTCTGAGGGTACCTTGTTTCTACCACACGAGGTGCCGTCTTTCACCGATCCTTCATCAGGGGTGTCTGGAGCGTGGTGAAATTCCAGGCCCCAACATAAGATGTTGTTCACGGTACTCTGAACCACGGTGTCGCCGTCCTTCCTCACCGGGATTCTTTTGATGTTAACACACTGCACTCTTCCACATAGGATGTTCCTGAGATAGAAAAACAAGCCTCTCTGACCACCCTTTAAACCCCTCTCTAAATTCAGCACTTCCATTTGTATTTCTAATGCTCTCTTTTCATGTGATTTGCTCGTTATGTATATAGAGTGGCCATACTGATATTTACACCCCAATTTTGCCTCCTGGATACCTTCTATTTTCATACTTTTTTTAGATCACCRCCACCACCACTTACTCTTCTAGACACTTAGTGTAATAGGTCCCGTTCCAGCCRCAGTTGCCACATCGGTCGCCTCGAACATTCACTTCCCTGAAGCAGCTCAGCGGAGCGCGGTGGGCAGCTGCAGAGCAAGAGAGCCAAGTCAGGAGTCTGTGGAAGGAGAGGGTCTGTCAGCACCCAACCTCATCCATTCTGCTGATGCTCGAGGGTCTTCCAATACCATGTTCTAATGAACCATCAAAACGTCGCAGAGAAAATTGCCAAGTCTCAAGTTATTCCTTCCACTGGAAATTGGAATGAAATTTCAAATCTCCATGTGCTGATGGAGGAAAAGGGAAATTTTTCCAAGTTATTTATAAAACATCCTCAATCTCCTTCTATTTCCACCTTCCTAGTTTCTAACACAAGCTCTAAACATCTTTTAAACAATGAAAAACACCAGATTGAGGACACAACTACAAGAAATGTCCTACAGAGCAATGGACATTGGGCCCAACCAACGCTCTTGAGAAGCCTGGTTGCCTCTGAGGCTACCCTGGGGTATGTTATTTAAGGAGAACATGCAAACAAGGCTTCCTGATTGTGTAAACCATAATCACKTCGCCCTCAGCCTTTTCCAACTCAAGATGTCACCATTTTTAGTCTTTTCATGTCTTTGTAACACATAATGCGTCCTCCATCCGCTTGCCTATTTTAATCATCTTTCTCCAGATTTTCTTTAATTGCGTGATACTCCAGCAAGACGTCTTAAAATGCCCGGTGATTTTATGACAATAGTTCTATAACAAGATACAGAGAGAGCAGCGTATAAGCAACGAATCTGCAGTGACTATGGAAAAACCAGACTTCAAAGCAGAGGAAGAGGCGCAAGACTAATTGTTATCTTAAGGAGAGAGCTAATTGTGGCCTGGCGGTGCTGAGGGTGACTTGCCTTTGCCAAACAAAGCCTTGCACTGCCTCTCGTGGTTGCGGCAGTCCCCTTCGTAGCAGCGGTCGTTGTCACCACACGGGGTTCCGTCTTGCTTGAACACATCCGCGGGGCAGGAGGCAGAAGTCCCGTTACAGTACTCGGGAAGGTCGCACGCATTCCTGGTGTCCCTACATAATTTCCCCGCTGGCTGGAACTGGGAAACAGAGCAGAGAAACGAAGTGCAAGTTTTGAAGTAGGATTGTCAAGGCAGGCAAGACTGGCAAAGGCCTCAGGGGACAGTAAACAAGGGGACAATAAGCATTATGGCAGCTAGTTAAGAGCTTGGAGAAGCAATTAGATCCTTGTTTTTAGCCWGCACTATGAAGCCAAGAGTAATTGGTGGTGCTGCGACGTACCTGGCATTTGTGACAACACTTTCCTCTATAGCAGTCAGCCCCATGTGCAAGCAAGCAGGTAGAGGAGAGGCAGCAACCTTCGCGGAGGCAGACCTGCAAGGAAGTAATCATGGAATCATGGAATCATCRAGGCTGGAAGGGACCTTTGGAGACCATCCAGTCCAACCCCTTGCACACGCAGRGTCACCCAGAGCAGGTGGCACTGGCTACATCCAAGCAATTTTGGAAGATCTCCAGAGAAGGAGACCCTGGGCAGCCTGTTCCAGGGCTCTGGCATCGTCACTACCACAAAATTTTTCCTTAGGTTCCTGGGGAACTTCTGGTGCTTCAGTTTGTGGCCGTTTCTTCTTGTCCTATGGCTGGCCACACTGCACCATCTCAGCGTTACAGTTGCTTCCTGGGATAATCTGCTCTGAAGATCTTTTTTTTTTTGAGATCAAGAAAGATGGAATTACAGGAGATTAACAAAAAACATCTGCCATTTTCTGCCACTCTTTTAAATTCTAACATAAGTCTCATTAACGTTTCAACACAGATTTTGCATGTGAATTCACCGAATCTTTAGAGAATTGKAGAAATACCAATTCAGGGGTCGGTTGCTTCCTGAGTGCTCAGCTTCTGACTCCTGCAACTTCATTTTCCAGCATATTTGAGTCATCAAGTGCAGAACATCAGTGCAATAACCAGGCTTTGGGTGTCCACGGTCAGTCATGAGACACCTTTAAAACAATTAATCTTTTTTTTTTCCTTAATATTAATGCTTCCATCTCATATTCTCTGCTAATCAGCCTGCCTACCTGTTTCACAGTGCTACTCCTAGACTAGGCTAATTAGTATTTACAAAGCACTTAGCAATCTTCTTGAGCACAACAGAAGAGATTAATCTCCCCTTCGATCATTTTCCCTTTTTTTCCTACTTTCCTTCTTTTCCCCTTCCAACTCTTCCATCAGGAATCTACTTTTTTGATGTTCCTAATTCCAAATCATTCAAGTGTTAGCGTTGATAGACTCTGAACTTGGTCATGTGAAAAAATTTACTATAATTTTAAGGATACCTGGAACATAAGGATATCTGCTTTATATGGATAGCTGGTTAATGGCTTTTCAGCACAAAAGCCAGACAGGAAATGGAAACAGTAATAAACTCATCCCCACACAGATGCACAAACGCTCACAAAGAGGTAACGGAGACATTAGCAAAGACCAGAGCCCTCAGGACATTGATGGATGGGCCAGAGCAGCAACTACTCAAGTGCAACCTTGAGGAGGTTCAACCAGAACTTGGTGACTAATAAAAAGGGGAAAAAAAGATTAATCTGGATCTCCTAGAAAGACCAAACTTMATGTGAGGCAGCTCTCAGGGAATGTAGGACTGTATAAAACTTATTGTGGGTTGTTTCAAGGGGRTGTGGAGGGTGTCCAAAACTCTTTATGAGATGGTTCGAAGAACTAAAAGCAGGAAAAGGGAGAGATTGAGGTGGATTGGGAAGGAACAAGCAAAGAAGAATAGTGAGGAGGGGATAAAAGGGGCTGGGWGGGTATAAGGAAGCCCCTGGTCAGCGTGCTTGATGGTTGGGCCATGCATGACCCCTGTAATCTCTCCAATCTTCTTACTAATCTCCACTAAACTCCTTTTCCTAGGGGTTTTCCGAGCGAGTGTCCTCCCTATTTGGTGTGTGCGCGTACATGAGCCAGTAACAAACTTCAGGCTTTACTTTTCTCTAACAATGTTTTTAAAAACAGCTGGGCCCTTTTTACGAGCGAGATGAAGGATGCTCGAGTCAAGCCTGGATATAACACATGCAGCTCTCTCATGTGGGAAACGTAAGTGCAAAGGCTCGTTTTTGGCTAAGTTACAAAGCAGCTACMATAACAATTACATAAAATGCAAGCAAGGATCCCTGCTGGGAAGCTCAACCTTTCTTGAGTGTCGTAGCTGCCTGGTGCCTAGGATTACAGCTGTGAGGGTAAAAACATGCAAGAATGCTCTTAAAAGCACTCTTAAAAACCATTCCACTGACCTCTGGGTAAATAATAATTTATTTATTTTATTTAATTATTTACCTCTGGGTAAATAATAGAAGAAAGAAACAGAATAACTAGAGAAGAAGATGGAAATACGGCAAGTAGAAATAATGCATCTGCACATAGAGGAACTTGTCAGCAAAGGTGTGTCCCTCCTGAGGAGTCTCTCCTTTTTGACGTAGCACTTCTCAAATACTTGTATTTTCTTCAAACCTTTTATACCTATGAGCATTAGCACAACCAGAAGGAAATCTCCTTCCAGGTTGGGTGAGCTATGGAGAGATTTTGCTTCTGTGCTGGCAATGGAGCTGCTCTTCCCTGCCTGATGGATTCCTTATTGGATACTTGCAAAGTCTTGGTCTGCATAGAATCTGCTACAAAAGGTCTCTCTGTAGTTATGCAAAAAGCCTTGCATTTAACTCCAGATATGCTCTGCATGCATTTGCACAAATAAAGAGCATTTTGGACACACATAGCACCATATTTGGGTCAACTCCCACTTCAGAGGAGTCAACAGAAGTGGAAGCCACTGAGCTCATCTGAATGTGGGACACTTCACTGATCGCTCCTCCCCGTGACCCAGTGAGCTTTTGAATAAGACAACAGTGTTATTGTAATTAAATCTGTAATTACCTACCTCATCCCTGCCACAGTCACATTCTTCCTCTTTTTCCAAGACACCGTTGCCACAGTGATCAGAAAGAAATGGCTTCAGAGATGGTATGTTGAGAAGACATGGTTGATTCTTGGTTACTACTTGATCATAATATTCTCCCATGGTGCAGTTGCTGAAGGCAAAGCAAGAGCTGTAGGAAAATAAAAATATTGATTATATATAACCATGCCACACACATAGAATAATTGGTGGACTCGAAGGACAACAGGTAGATTAGCTGGCAAACAAAAATATGAAGATGTTTTAGGGAGAAAAAAACCTTTCCTCTTTTATTCTGAAAACCTGTTTTCTAAAGATGTAGGAGACAATAATACTGTGTTGATGAACAAGTTTCTGGTGGTGAAGGCCCAGGAATTGTTGAGACATCAGGATGACCAGAATTGGAAACTGTGGGACATTTGTTAATTCCGAATGATACATGGACGAGAARAGGAGAGGACCACAAAACAACTTTGGAAGTGATTTGGTTGTCCTGGAGAGGTGGAGTTGGAAGATGGATGCACCACGGACAGGGCTGTATCAGGTGCAAGTTCCTCCAAACCCCTGGAGAGGAGATTGGTTCACCTGAAAGAAAGAGGGCTCCAATTGCTTTTATTAGAGAATAAATAGAGAAACCAAACATACTAGATGATAGAGAAACTACTAGATTAGAGAATGTACACACAATTTGCGTGTTAAAGGGGGTGGAAACAGGATGGCTTCACATCCAACTGCTCAAATGATGAGCAACTCATGAAAAATGCAGAGTGTGATGATGATGATTTCCAAAGTGAAGCTTATTCCATAGACAAAATGTTGTGAAAGAAATTTAAACAGGTCACCATCATCCGAGTGAAAGAAAAGCTGAAGTAAGATGGCAACATGAAGAGAGTGGTGCAGATATCAAAGAAAGTATAGATGTGACCCAAAACTAAATAGGAGCACGATGCTAGGCAGCATTTCTAGGACATCAGAGCAGTTCAAATAAATAACAAGACTGTGCAGATATATTTGTGCTGATGACTTCTGTACCTTTAGGGAGATGAATGCTTAGACAAGCCTGACTAAAAGCAACAGTTGACATCATGGGATAGGTCAGAAGCAGTAACAGATGACAAGGATGGATGGGCTGGAAATAAATTTGCCAGGGGTATGTATAAATTCAGGGTATTCATATGGGTATGGAAATTACAGCAATCAAAGTGGATGCACGAGTCACACTATTTTCTGAGCATATCAAGTACTACACATAGGGGAATTAGGGGACAAGTGTTGTCTAAACTCAGAGATCTGGAAACAGATTCATTTAATCAACGTGTTAAGACAATAAGGTTGCTATTTGAACGGATAACAGCAAAGGCTGAAGGGTTAGGGAACCATGAAAGGCAATTTTCCAACTTGCAGAAGCTCTTGCCCTAGCCCTGATCTGCTGGGTCCTCCGTCACCTTGAAGTCACCAAGGAGCTGGCCTGCAGCTGGAGGGCACAGGAAGAACCATCAAGGGGTGAAGCAGGACTGCCGGTGACCCCATTAAAATGGCTATTTCTGTGCAATTGCTATTGAGGCAAACACAAATTTGGAGAAGACTTCAGCTTCTCAAGTCATTTACATCTATTTAGAGGCTTAGTTAGTCTCTGGGAAAGAAAAGGGTTTAAAATTGTCAGGAGGAAGCGTGGAACCTGCTCCTCTCATTTTTGCATTTCAGAGAGTGGAATAGAGATGAGGAATTCTTCATCCGGAGAAAAGTGTTTTAAGATTTGGAAATGAACAAATCCCAAATGAAGCAACCGTCATGGCCTGCTGAAGTTTGCTGTATCTTGGTGGATTTTAGAGCTAAGAGGAATGACTCTTTTCTCTTGACATTGTCACAGACCGTAAAGCATTATCCATAGCATTGGGAGCTGACCACAGGATTATTCCTCGGAATCCTATGGTTATTTTGCAAAATCATATGGCTACTTTATGCTGAAACAGCAGAGGTTGGTGTTTGCATAATAGCCTTGGAAGATATTTTGTGGAAGAAAAATAGGGGGAAAAAAGGACCAGCCTAAGATGATGCCTATGAAGGCATCTTGTGGATGAACTCATCCCTTAGAGATAAGAGTGATTTCCTGGTGCCTTGGTGGAGAAGGAACCAGGAATGCCGAGGTCTCCTTTCATCTAAATA